GACCCAGACATTACCTGCAGTGCCAATGGGTTTCTTGGATTTGTTGAAGATGTGATCACCTGGGTTTGGGGGGGGCGCGACGTCCTGGCCCTGCCGCGCCAGCAGCGGGTTGTACTCCTTCCCATCATAGTTGGCGTCAAAGAACTTCTTAAACCACTGGATGAACTCAAAGTTGTCCTGGAACTTGCCCTTCACCAGCCTCTCCACAGCGATGATCTGTGGGGATAGACACAGAGGGGCTGGTGGGGCTGCTCTCCAGCACAGCCATCACAGCCCCCATCAGCCCCCAGGGCCATACCTTGTCCACTCCCATCTTCTTGAAGGCTGCTTGCAGCACCTTGAAGTTGTGGATGTACTCATGCTCGAGCTTGGCTTGGAACTTCACCTTCCGCAGGTGGACACAGCCAGGGAACAGCATGTCCATGAACTGGCAGTACGCAGCCCCTGCACCGGGCCCATACTGCAGTGTCAGTGTGGGCTGGTGGCACCTCACCACCATCCCCCATGCACCCCATGTCCATCCCCATCCCCTGCCATGGGACCCACACCCCACCTGAGCAAAGCTGCTCGATCTTGGTGTAGTTGAGCTGGAGGGAGTCATTGACCCAGGCGAGCATATCATGGCGGCTCAGGTTCTCACTGGTCACTGATGTCGAGTACACATTGACGGCCATGCCCCAGCTGCAGAGAAATAGGTGTCGCACCAGTGCCAGCACCCTGGTGCACCTCCATCCCAGCCCTCCTCCGAGCTAGGATCCAGGGCTCCCATCCCACCCAGGCTCCAGCACTGGTGGACACTGGGGCCAGGCTGTCATGGTGCCACCCATGGGACACCCCCCCACCCCTGCCTGCACCAGGGGAGCTGGATCACCCAGCAGCACCCACCACAGGACACAGATGTGGTGCAGGACATGATGGGCAAAGTGTTCCAGGTGGATGCAGGCACTGCTGAAGGCATTGCCCCTGTGCTGGGGCACAGCTCTGTCCCTGTGCATGGCCATGGGGCTCCTGGGGGCTGGTGCTGGCCCATAAGCAGCTTAAACCCCCTCTGCCCCACTCCAGCTCCCAGTGGCTGCCTAATCTGCTGGGGCTAGGACGGGGGTCCACCAGTGCTGGGCTTAGAGGATCAACATCTGCCAGCAAACCAACACCCAGATGGCAGAGGGCTCCACGCAGGCACCACGGCACCGCAGACCACAGCCTCGGCAGGGGAGGGGGTTGGGGAGCCATGCCACAGAGCTGGGGGACACACACATGCCAAGACATCATCCTCCTAGTTCCTGCCAAATGCTTTAGTCTGGAGACTGTCCTCCCACCCCACTGCCCCCTCCCCGAGAACAGGGTCCTCACCGCTGCAACCATAAT